TCCCGAGCACTCTCCACACTCTAAATTGTGCTTAACAAAAGTTGCTTAGAAACAAGTGATTCACATTATAAGCATAATAAGCATTTCTTAGAAGAGAAGATGCAAGAAACGTTTACTGCCTTCATGCCCAGCTTAAACTTACCAGCAGTAAGCTGCTATATGAATCTTTGTTCTGATCAAAAATAAAGGAAGGACTGCTCTCATAATAGCAAAAGAAAAAGCAAAATATAGGTAGGAAACACCGCCAGTTCATACTTTTTCCATATGGTCCATATTTTGCTAGCTAGATCCATGCTCTCCTTACTTGCTGGGCTGCTGTTTAAGAAGAATGGTTATGAACACAGAACCCAAACATTGGATTGGGGACAACAGCATGGCTCCATTCTCCAAGCTGCATTGAAACTAATATTATTCATTATTTTCCTTGTTGCTCTCCCTATAATATTTGTGTTGTGTTTCTGTCACTGAGCAAAACAGCAAAAAAAAAAAAAAATTCCTCCCTAAATTGCCTAAGGCAGTGGTGGCGAACCTATGGCACGCGTGCCAGAGGCGGCACTCAGAGCTCTCTCTGTGGGCACGTGTGCCATGCCCCAGAGATGGCAACTGTCCCTCTTCAACTAGCTGCATACTAACTCATCGAGGTCCCATGTGGCTAGATGCATCCCGGCACGGCTGGTTTCCCTCCCCCCGTCCCATCCCTCCTGGCCTTGCATGCTCTCCTTTTCCTGGGCACGACCCACTGCATCGCCTCCTCAGCTGTTGGCCAGCCATCCAGCTCAGAGGTGGCTTCTTTGAACTCCTGGCAGCAGGCTGCGGAGCCCCATAGTGCACCGATCGAGGGGCCGGAAGGCTGTGGCTGCTGACGGACACCGTCGGCCCCCATGCGCTTGCTGGCCTCTGTGTGCGGGGGCCAATGGTGTCAGGCAGCAGTCACCCCGGCCCTTGCCTTGCCCCATGGCAATGGTACCCCCGCCCTGCCTCACCTCACCCCGCAGGACGAGCCTCCTGCCTACCACCCCACCTGCCAGAGACCCGCTGGATCTCCAACCCTGCCCACCCCCCAAAGGCGTCCCTCCCCACGAGCAACATTGAAGTGACCATGCCCACGTTAGCCACAGCCACCCAATCTGCCATGACCACCACAGCCACGCCCACCCAGTGGGCCACGCCAACCTGGCAACTGGCGATAAATAAGTGGGATTTAGGTTACAGTTTGGGCACTCAGTCTCTAAAAGGTTCGCCATCACTGGCCTAAGGAATAATAGGTTTTCTTTCTATCTTTCTTACCTACCTACTGCAGGGGGCAAGCAACATTTTCTGTATTTTGTTTTTTTATGCTTCATATTTTTAAATGCTATTTTGTGAATAACCAATAAATAAAAAGAGTTCAGCTTACCAGTCTTCCTCCGAACTTTGTGTTTCCTGTGTATCCTGTGCTTCCTCATCTTCCTCCTCCTCCTCCCCTTCCTCTTCCTTCTCTGCCAATTTTTGTTCTACAGCTTGCAGCTCAGCTGATGTCCTTTCCAACAATGCTGAGACCGCATCCTAACAAAGACATGGAAAGCAGCTCTACTTGTATTAAAATATGCAAGAATGCCAGTAATACACCTGGTCTGTAATGTACATGGACTGAGCCCAGAAAAATCATAAAGCTGCTGAAGCCTTTCAGATTAAATTTAACAAGCACACATGTACCTACAGAGAGTAGGGTTACATCATGAAAGACTCAAGACTGATTTAAACCTTGAATTGCTGCATGATATCATCTGAGAACTGATTACATATATTGTGAAAATCATACCCTATAAATAAAATTCTTTCCAAAAATGACATAGGCAAGACAACGAAAATATACTCTGACATACAGATCAGTAAAAATTAAGTTCTAATTCACAATTTGTGGGCAAAAGCAACAAAGTATGTAGATTTCCAACATTTACAAATCATTATTCCAGATATTACAATTGATCTTCCAGTTTAAATGGGCATTGTCTATATTATGAGATTCTTATGCCCTAGATTTTGCATGTACATTCTTTAAAACAGTATTTTGTTTTCACTCCCTATCATTTAAAGAAAACAGAAAAATATATTCACTGATTTGAAGTCTGATGTAAATGAAATCCTGTACTAACCTACATTTAGTTGTTTGGAATAGGTGCTCAAGTATAATAAAATTAATATGGGGAAAATAGAGTAGACCATAAATACTTATGAATGTTACATTCTGTGAAAAAATAATCAGCTGCTTGCCAGCAGAAATATAGCATTTACCATTTTTCTCTGAAAATAAACCTAGCTTGATTTGGGGGTGGGCCTAATATAAGCCCTACCCCCAAAATAAGCCCTGGTTTGGGGGGAGGCACACACTAAAAATCAAGCTAGGGCAGGGATGGGGCTGTGGATCTGCCCTATGTGCCACTTACCTTGCAGCCAGGACTCTCCTCGCTGGCCCACTTCTTCTGTGGCGTCTTCTGCAGCCAGGCCTTCATTTCTCAGTCACAGGTCTTTCCAGAAGACCTGTGCAGCAGAGAACCAAGCTACAGATTCAATCCATAGCTTGGTTCTGCAAGACCTCTGGCCTGACTGCAAGACCTCTGGCCTGATTGCAATTTCACAGTCAGGCCTTTCTGGAAAGCCTATGCAGCCAAGTACAGAGCTATGGTCTGACTGCGAAATTGCAGCCGGAATGCAGCTGCAGAATGAAAGTGCTCCTTCAGCTGCAGAAGAAATGGACCTGCTGGACGGGGCGGGCGGTGCCGGAGGTGAGTAAGACATCCCCAAAAATAAGACCTGGTGCCTCTTTTAGAGGCATAATAAGTAAATAAATAGGACCCGGTCTTATTTTTGGGGAAACACAATAGGAAGAGCAGTTATATTTCACCACTCTCCATTTATTGATTTATTTGATTGATTGATATTTCATCTTTCCTCTAGGAACTCACAGTGGCATACATAGCATTCCTTCCTCCAATGTTTGCACACAATGAAACATAGAACATAGAATAATAGAGTTGGAAGTGACCTTGAAGGTCTTCTAGTCCAATCCTTAATGCAGCATAGGATTGCACTGGCTTTTTTGACTGCTGCTGCACACTGTGTTGGCTCATATTTAAGTGATTGTCCACTAGGACTCCAAGATCCCTCTCACAATTCCTGGCATTAAGCCAAGTTTCACCTATCCTATACCTATACAGTTGTTTTTTCTTGCCTAAGTGTAGAACCTTACTTTTATCTATGCTGAATTTTATTTTGTCAGACAGGGACCAGTGTTCAAGTCTGTCAAGATCTTTTTGGATCTTGAACTTGTCTTCTGGCGTGTTGGCTATTCATCTCCAAATTTTTATGAGTTCCCCTTTAAGTCCCTCATCTTCCTTCACCTGTGCCAGATCCTTTGCAATGAAGCAAAGATCATCCACAAACGCTAATAATTGGCAATCCCCACCGTGGAACCTTGCAGTATATATGCAACCATCAGCCTTACAACTCTTGAACCCAAGACCCTTTAATGCCACATCTAAACAGATGTCCCAGTTTCTGGCTGATTGCTTCAGCCCATAAATGGCCTTGCTCAGTTTATACACAGTGCCAGGCTTTTTACTTTCATACCCTGGTAATTTTTTTCCTCCAACTCTGCATTAAAGAATGCTGTGGTTATATCAAAGTGCCAAATTTTATGCCCACGTGCCATTGCCAACGCTAGTGCCATCCTTATAGTTTCACTTTTTACCGTTGGTGCAAATACCTCATCATAGTGCACATTTTTCTTCTGTGAAAACCCCTGTGACACTAATCTTGCCTTATATTGGACTTCATTGTTGGGTAACACTTTCCTTTTGTATACCCATTTACATCCTACAGCTTTGTAGCCTTGTGGCAAAGTCATAGAGGTGAATACTTTATGTTCAGCCTTGGATTTCATTTCTTTGTCCATGGCCTCTTTCCACTTCTCTTGCTCTACTTTGGGTAGTGCCAATTCTTCCTGATAGTTTCTTAACTCATACCACACATTATACACCTTTACTTTCCCAGCAGAATACCTGTCAGGTGGAATCCCCTTGTTCCATCGCTCTGACTTGCGTGGCATTGACTGCTCTTGACTGTCAACCCTTTTCAGTTTCACATCTTCTTCTGACTCTTTTTCTTATCTTTTTTCAGCTTCTCCTCCCTGAACGCCGACACTGGCACTAAGTGAGTCACCGTCACTAAGTGGATCATTTCCAGAATTGGCATCAATTCTGCACCAATTCTGCTCTGCAAAGCTAGCAGATCTGGAAATTACTATCCTTCTGCTCCCATCACTAAAGCAATAGCTCTTTGAGCCAGGCTCATAGCCCATAAATCTGAGCTTTCTAGCCTTTTGTTGCCATTTTCTCCTGATTGCCTTTGGAATATGCACCCATGCATTGCTTCCAAACACCCTTAAATGTGCCAGAGATGGCTTTCTCTCATATAGCACAGCATATGGAGTATCATTTATAGAGGAACTCCACAGCCTATTGATCAAATAATTAGCAGTCAACATGGCTTTGCCCCAATACGACCTGCTCAGACCAGAATCCTCCAGCAGTGAGTCTTTCATGGTCTGCAAGACTCCATTCCGTCTTTCAGCCACGCCATTCTCAGCTGCTGTGTACGGATTTGTGCGTCTATGTCTTATTTCTAGCTGCCCCAACCACTGTTGAAAACTTGCTGATATGAATTCTGAACTCGTCAGTTTGCAGCTAGCATACCTGTTGCCTATATCGTCTTTCTGCGAAGCTCACCCATTGCTTGAACTTCTGCAGCACTTCTGTTTTGCTCTTAAGCAAATAACAGAAACCAAATCTACTGAAATTATCTACAATGACCAGCGCATACTTTGCTCCTCCCAAGCTGGCTTGCATTGGTCTTACTGTATGTACCAGCTCTAGAACCCTTGTTGTCTGCCTTGTGCTCTTCTTCTTATTGGGAATACCTTAGATTTCGATGATTTACATATTATACTGCACAGTCTAAGTATGCTTTAGAGTACACCCTTTTAAAGTTAATGCCTCTGCAAACTGAGGCATCCTATGCAACACTCTGAAGCTGGCATGGCCAAGCTTTCTGTGCAAGAGATGAATGCATGAATCATATTGTGCCACATTACCAAATGTTTGGGCACATTTAACCTTTTGTGTCTGCAACTGTTCTAATTCAACAATCAGTTTCTGCATGTGGAACAAATGCTCTTTTACACTCTCTTGTGGCAGCAGCCAGGCTCTGTACAATTGCCCTGATAATTGCACTATATTGCATGCTGACACGCTCACATGGACACTTCTGAACTTCAGCCCAACTTTTTTTGCAGTTTTTAATTCAGCTACATTTAAGAATTGTTCATCTTCCACATTTAAAATGATGTAAGCCAGTGCCTTATCATGCCTCCGTTGATCTGCAGCTGCTAATTGCTCCTGGGGTGGATTAATCACAATATCCCAGAGCTCCTTAGCCTCCAGGAAGCATTCCATTTTTGCAGCCCAAATAAGATAATTCTTTTGTCCCAATCGAGGCAGAGAGTTCTCCTTTAAATCAGCCATCCTGCAAGCCTTCAGCTGAGCAGCCTTTTTCTTTCTTAATTCAGGCAGTCCTTCAGCTTAATTACAGCTCCGTGTTGAGCCTCAATCTTTTCTTTCAGTCTGAACTGTGTGCAAGGGCTGGCTGGGATCTGGGCCCATAACCTGTTAAGAGTTTTACAGCTTTCCAGTGCAAAAATAAGCCCAAAAAATAAGCACACGTTCAAAATGAGCAGGAGACATAATTTAGAAAAACTTTATCTATAAAATATATATAAGCATGATACATACAGTTTCATTCAGTTCTTGGCAATGCGGTAGAGAACAACAACTAACTCAGGAGATCAGGACACAGGGAAAGACTAAACCACCCCCAGACCTAGGCTGGATCACATGCCTCACACAGCCAATACTGTGTCTTAATCTAAAACAGTTCTCACTGGCTGGTTTGTTGCTATGGCTATTCCAGTTCATAAATTCTTACATACTGACAACTTTGTTGAAGAATGAAATAAGATTTGTTTAGCATGATCTGTTTTTGATGAACCCATGTTGACTACTAGTTATAACTTTGCTTGTAGGTGTTCAATGTACAATGAACAATGATGCAGATTGGGCTAAAAGAGAAAAATTGGTCCAAAATTAGTCAGTGAGTTGTCTGACAATGGACTTGAAACTGAGTCTCTCCAGGCCTCTCAAACCCCTTAACCATTATATTACACAGGTGCGCAAACTACTTTATTGACAAAAAAAAGTTTAATGTGGCAATATGCATTTTACATGTGATTCCCTTCTACTCCAACCAATAATATTTGAATGTTAGGATAAGCACACTGTTCCTTATAATGAAAAAGTTGTATGTAAGCTTGACTGCATTTGCTTCTGTTTTTTAGCAATACATTCTGACAAGGAACTCTGGCTTATTGCTTTCCTCATAATCAAGATTTAGCAATTCATTGTTTGTTTATCATTCCTGCGAGCAGAAAAAGTCAATCGGAAGCCTAATTATACTTCTATTTATGATAATGAGACATAGCAACTGGAGGCTACACATAATAATGTAGCACAACTATTTGACTGGTGCCACTGTTTTTTCTAGCAATCAACTTACCAAGGAAACAGGTGTTGGATTGGCTGCCACAAAGACAGAATACTTCTTTGGCTTTGTATTCCTTTTTCCAACAGTCTGCTTAGAAGATAGTAAATTATACCACAGAGTAGATATCTCATTTGAAAAGGACACATCTCCCAGACTTATCTGGATTCCACCCTACAAAACAATGTATATTTGTTAAAGAATTTTAATTTATGTAAAAACAAATGATGTCATTGAAATGTTTTGTTTGTTTCAGCAGTCAAAAATTATTATCCAAAGCTTTTTTATATTAGAATTATTAAATACTTCAATTATATATTTATATCTTTTGGATTAAAATACAGCATTTAAGATGAATATTACAACTGAAGTCAAATAACAATGCAACTAAGTTTTATAAGTATTAGGTAAGACTTTCCACGTGATGCACAGTGATCTTTTCTATTATGGTTATAATGCAATGTGTGAGGTAGCCGTTCTATAAAAGCCTGATGAATAGGATTCATCTATCTCTCAAGAGAGAAATTGCAGAAACATGTTTTAAAATGAAAAGTGAAGGGGAAAGCATAAAGATAAAGAAAGAAGGAAGATGAATGGGATTTACTTGGAGCAGTTGGCACAAGTGTTAAAGTAATTCTGGTTCATGATAAATCTTGAGGGATTAAGGGCACAAGAGTCCTTGGCTTGCAAGATAAAAGGATGTAAAGCATTAAAGTGCCAAGAGAGTACTCAGAAGTTGCAGGTGAAAACAGAAAAGATTGTGATATAGATATTTATCCTGTGATTTTATTTGGAAATTTTTTTATTGTTGTTCTTACTTGTTGCTCAATCTGAATTAAAAGAAAAGTTTAAGTGGTACATTTAAACAAAAAAAATAAACAGATCATTTGATTAATTACAGATCAGACATACAATACATATCTAAAAAGAAAGTATCAGTTACTCTATAAATCTAATCAGTGCAATAGATCGAAGCAGGAGAAAGCACTGGCTAGGTTAATGCCTGAAGCAAAATACAGTTGGCCTCAGTCCATCTTATTCATGAGGGAAAAAATGGCTTTATATGTAAGAAAAGAAAATTTAAGCTCATATTTAGAATCTTTGATAGCTTTACTATATAAAAATGCCTCAGGCACCATCGATTTACATTCTGTCAATGTCTGAAATTGTTAATCATTACACTTCCGTTTTACAATAATCTATAGGTAGGAATAACTTGAAGAATATTAAGAAAAATAAAAAGTCTACTTCTAACTATGATAACATTATATAGAAGTAGTAGAACATTTTCGTTGGATGCACCTTTGCCACTGAAGTCACATACATGCTTTGCATGAATAAGGTCCTAGGTTCAATGCCCTCGCATGGGAAATCCCCAGCATGGAATTATTAAATTTCCTGGCTGATACTTGGATGAAAGAACACTTCTCAAAAATAGTAACCTTAATTTCCACAGACCAAAGTCACTGCAAAACACTTTCAAATAAATTAAGCACAGTTATGGATGGATGCAAGTTATGGATTTTCAATTGGCCAAATTGTATGTCCTGACTGCTCTTTAAAAAGGTTCACCACAATAAATATTAACCCAGGAAATTGCATCATCATAAAACCCACAGAGAAAATATTTATCTTCTCCCTTTCCTCATTTAAATGAAACCTATAACAACCAAGCCTTGCAGTTTTTCTCTGCAGTGGCATCTGAAGTGCTTCCTTCATTATCTTGAGTGTGAAAAACTATTCAAGCATTTAGCCTCTCAAGTAAATGGGGCAAGGAAAGTAAATTCAATTATTTCTATTTATTTAAATATTTGTATACCATTTCTCATTTGCATTAACACCAGAAAGAGTTAATGCTATAAACAGTGCTAGAAGACTAGTTATTAAAAGGATTAGAAATATTAATAAAAGGGAGGTGTTTGGTGAAAAGCCCCCCTAAAAAGAAGAATGGATTTTTAAAGGAGTACCTAAACCATGGCTGCATTGGAGTGGGTGTTCTGCAGAGGACTGCTGAGAAGATTTATGGATGCTGCCTGCAGCACAGAATGCAGGACCTCCCCTCAAGAACATTAAGTACCAGGAATATTACATACATGAGGATGCTAAGATAACATGCTCCTTTCTAATTTCACCATCTTGAATCTGTTTAGTAGCAGAATGATAGGAAATGCAGATGTTTTAGTATAGGTGTGATGTATTTACAGCAGCAGCCCCCAACCTTTTGGGCACCAGGGACCAGTTCCATGGAGAGAAGTTTTTCTCTGGACCAGAGGGAGGCGGGGTTTGCATGCTGCCTGCATCCCGCGGATGTGGCTTCACTTGTTTGCACAGCTCGGTTTCTGGCATGCTGCGGACTGGTGCCAGTTCACAGACCGGGGGTTGGGGACCCCTGATCTACCATATTCCAATCAGTAGTAGTATATTAGATTAGTTGTAGCTTCTAGATCAGCCCACAGTGCAGGCCTAGAAACAGTGCAAAACATAGCATAGGAAATAAAACATGAACTGCAAGTGCTGAAATATTTACACTACGTCCTTGCTATTTAAGTCTTTAGGAAGTATAGTTCCAATGTACTACATTTTTCCCCATGAAAGTGGCAAGAAGAATCACTTAGGATCAAAGGTGACTATGCCCAGACCTATAAAGATTTTTAATACATTGCTCAAAAGATTCTTATACATCCACAAAAAGGGAGAAAAAGATCACAATTAAACCAATTATCATATTAAGTAAGGATACTTACTAGACATTCTTCTTGGTGACTTTTACTGACAGAGCAGATATCTACCCTCAAAGTTTTTTTCTGCAAGGCTGCCTGGGAAATAACTGTTCTGAACATTTCACTAAATAAAAGAGGTTCAGTAGCAGGATGGAACTTTGTACGGAATAGACAGCTGATGTCAGTTGAAGGTGGAAGAAGTGCAAGTCTAAAATATCTAAATAAGAAAAATAACAGAAAGATAACCTAAATTCATCATAAAGTGTTTTTCCATATTATGTTATGCAATATACATATTTAGAAATGATGTAAAATATTTTTCCCTTTTAAGGATGAGAAGAAAATGGGGGACATCAGGCCGGAAATATAAGCTTCTTCCTTCCTCCACAGATACACTAAGTTTGAGTTTCTATTTATTTTACATTCACAAATGCTGATTGCAAGGTGTGGGTCCTGACAGATACAAGTGCTTCTTACAGAACAAGCAGAATCTGTAAGATGAATATAAAGCAGTCTGGTTTAAGGGAGTGAGCTCAGTAAGTAAGCAAACAGGAGACTTAGCATGCTGGGAAGTTTAGAAGGAGTTCAGTTCCTAATAAATTGTCCCACTAAATTAGACTCATTTCCACAATGCTCTAGTCATTGAAAATGAGAGCACTGCTGCCATAGTCAACAGCAATAGCAGCAATGCTTGTGTGAGAGTAGCAACTCTACCCTTATCTCCTTTATCTCAATTCATAACAGAATCTAATATCCAAAATACACATTTTATCTATTTGAATATAATCTTGTTCTATTTCCTAAAAGTTATCTATTTCCCACCATATTAAATCATCTATTTAATAATACAATATCCCCTTTAATAAATCAAAACCATTATATATATTACCTTTATATATATTACTATTATATATAATCAATAAATCAAACATATTCATAATAATTGATTTTTTTTCTTTTAGGTCTAATTTTTAAATATTAAACAGATAAAATTCTTTTTTTAACTAATTTCCAAATATTTTAAACCTAATGACCAGAATTCCCCTTATCTCAACTTCTCCCTTTAACCCTCTAATTAATAATATGAAATCCCCTCTAATAAATCAAAACTGCAATTTTCTTCAGCCTTATTCTGGCTTTCTTCCTTTGCCAACTAGGCTTCCATATCAATGCTTTTAAATCATCAAATAGATCTCCGTCTATTATTATATATGTTATTTGAAATAAAGGAGACCATTTAATTGCCATTTTTTGGAAGGACTAGCTCATTTGTATTCATTAAGTTGTCTCCCTATTATTCTAATTCCCCATGATTGCTCTGATATGTTTATCTTCCATTCAATCTGTTCTTCTTTCTCAAATTTCTTCTGATTTATATAGAAAGTCTTTCCCATTTTCAGTGTTGTCACTCCCTTTTCTGGATTTTCCATTAACTGTATTTGTTGGTCAATTGAGTCCTCTGCCTTAATATTTGATTGTTCCACTTCTTCTGTTATCTTCTGCATTGTTAGTTCTTTGGTTGTAGTCAAAGTTTGGGTTTGTGTATCTAAGCTGGCGTCTTGATGTTAGGTCTTATTTTATCACAAGCTGAAAGAATGGTTTCATGTATTGCTTTCAACATGGAAAGGATATTTTCCTGGTCTCCATCCATCTCTTTCACGTGTGTATAAATAGTCTTTATAGTAGAAGTCGTTTGTCAAGCAAGATTTTATAGTCCAAGGTATTTCATCATCTCATATAATAACCAATATTCCTCAAATAAAGAGCTAGGAAGGCAATTCCCCACATATAACTCTGAAAGTCAGTAAAGGTTTACATTCACAGTTCAAGTAGGCCAGTTATGCCACCCAGCTGTTCTCCTACAGCTGAGTTTCTCACAGGTGATGCCAAGCCAAGGTCAAAAGAGTCTTATCTAAAATCTGGGCTTTGAGCCAAGTCTCTTTTAAGAAATAAGTTGTAATACCAAACTTCGCCACAAGATGTCACCGATGCCCTTTACATTTTTTAAGTCCAAAATTTTTATAATCCTTTTTCCAATTTTATTTCTTTTTTGTAGATAAAAGCAAAAGTCTCCAATAAAAATAGGAAAACTTTTGGTCCCCAAGTTTCAGGAACATATAAATCCAATTAGATTAAAGATGTTCTTTTAATGCTTTAATTCCCCTGGGCAGTCAGTCGCCGCTATTCTTAGAGGTAGGATAGAAATTCCCTTCCCTCTCTCCTCACAGGGGGAAACATACTTCAGGCAGCTTTTACAGGAAAAGAAAGTACTAAGGGTAAAGAGAAGATTGGATCTCATCCAGTTTCATCCGTGTTGCTTTCGAAGTTCTTGGTGGTAAGTTTGACTTCGGCTGTCTGCAGCCTAGTGACAGGCCATATTACTATGGTCAGTCTTTCCTCCGCCGGTTTGAAGGGCTGCCCCAGATTGAGTGGAAGGGTTGCTGCCCTTCCGCGGTCAAACAGGGTCCCCTCCTTGCTCATCACCCCTATAGGGCGACTTTTGACCCTTTCCAGGGTCCCCCAGTGGAGCAAAACCAAACGCGGAAGACGGAGCTCGCCTTCCAGCGGCCACAGCGGCCGCAATGGAAAACCGGAAGTCAGCAGGAAAGCACATTCTCTGGGGGTTGGTGGATAAATCTCCAGAAGAGTCACAGTACTTAATGACACTGCTACAGGGAATTAAAATAAATATATGACAAATCAACCAATTGGTTTATAAAGTCTTCTGTCTGTCAGAAGCCAGGGTCAGGAACATGACCAAACAATTTCCAAGACTTATCAAATCTACTAACAATGAATATTTCCTGCTAGTACTGCTCAGGATAAACAATACTGCAAAGAATTGTTACAACAGTATTCTGTGTCACTTGAACATCTCTGCTGGAAGCACAAGACTGCATTCTGTAATACTGAGGAAGTGAAGGAACTTTATCTATGTTTTCTCCTCTCAGCACTCCTACAGGGCAGGTATGATAAAACCTCAATAGCACATGAATGTGTATGTGTGACAATGGAAAAGTTGAAGACATCTCACATGTCTTATTGTGCTCTGAGTTCTACAGGAGCATCAGATCAATGTACATACTCCCTCTATTAGAGAGAATTCTAGGAAGAGAAGATAATTTCTATGAGAACCATTTTCTCCAGGACCCAAATCCAGCCACTATTCATGCAGTAGCCAAATTCTGTGCTGGTGTAACGATAATAAGGCAAAACCAGTTAAAGAACTAAAGACATTTATTGTTATCAATATTTTGCTTAGTTATTATTTTTTAAATAATTTTAAAGGACATATATTTTAATGCATAGTTTTATTAGATTAGATTTATTAGTATTAGGCAAATAAGTACATTATTATTGTAATATGGATGTTCAGAGTATACCATATTTGATTTATTTTATAGTTGCTGATATATAATTACACCCAATTTTCCCTATCAATCCTGATTGTAATTGTTGTCTTTTATCTTTTTTATTTTATGTTGCTGATCATTGAATAAATGATCATTGCTTATCACTGAATGAATGAATGAATGAATAAATAAATAATATCTATGTTTTAATAGAATTAGAAAGCAAAATTTAAATAGAGAGTTTATAGGATAGTAACAGAACTTCTGAAAAAGTTGACTGCAAACTGAAGATGATCCAGCAGTGTGACATAGCTGCAAAAAACACAAATACAATTTCAGGCTGTGTCAGTAGAAATGTAATTTCCAAAACATAAAAAAAACCCACTCCCTTTTTACAACCCTGTAATTCCTTAATTCAGGGTAGAGGCGGGGTGACTGGATGGAGCTGAACATTTACTGGTCAGATGCCCTTCCTGATACCACACAGAATTCACAGCAGGTACTTTTTCTTTGTGGCCTAGGAGCGAAAAATCTGCTTCTACCTAGGATTGAATTCTCAAACTTCCATGTGGGTGGCGAGTGTCTTCACCACTAGACCACCATGCCATTTGTAATTTCCAAAGCATGAGAAGTAATAATTCCATTCTGTTCTGTATTAGTTTCCTTATTTTGTGCTGAGTTCTAGGGATCACGCTTGAATAAATATTCAAAACAATTAGAACCAGTTCAGAGAAGATAATGATTTTGGGACTAGAAACTAAGTTCTATTAAGAGAGTTCCAATTATTGTCATAATGACAGAGGTATGCTATGTCAGCATCAAATCATGGTATGGCTTTTTTCCACATTACAATTTTGAAATATGGGAGTATTTTTCATGTATTGTTGAAAACAAAAGAGGGAATGAAAAAACAAAATCTCTTTTCAGGCTCATGCAACATTTTCCAATGTAAAATGAAGTTGGGGAGCAGACCTGTATTATATTGCTGTGTAAATAGTAGCTCTCAGAATATATCAATATTTGTAGAGATTAAACCATCTAGACTGAAATAAGTGCTCCCAGTAAAAGCAGAATTTCATGCTTTGCTCTTCAAATGAGAAAATGAAACTGTGTTTTCTTTGAAATGCAAATACAACTCAGACATTCAGACAATGAATGCTTAAAAATGTCTCCAGGTAGCATGCAAATCTCAAACCCAACACAAAAATTTGTTCACTTTAAGAACAGCTCCTTCTAGAGAAGTACTGTTGCTCATTTTCTGCTCACTATCAAATGGATTTTATTTAAATAGTATTTCTTGGAGTCTATTAAAAGTTAAAAAGTCTAAATGCTCCTGACTTAATGATTATAAAAGATTAAAAAGCTGATGTGTTTTACCCATCTGTTTTAATTTAGCTAGATTCAGACACATCTTCCTACCTGCCTTTTGACAGTTGCTGTGGAGAGACATGGAATACAAATCCCCAAAATTTAAAAACTTTCGTATCACAGCAGACAAGGTGAATTCTATGTGTGGAAGAGAAGGTTATTTGTTTGAGGAAATAAGGAAATGGAACTGGTAATCCTCAACTTGTGGCTGCAATTAGGACTGGAAATCTGATCATGTCATTACACTCAGAAGTTGAGGCACCCAAGTGACCAGTTTTATGATATTTTTCCTCTTAGTAGGTAGGTGAACATGGCTGTCTTTAAGTGAATCCATTCATTCAAATGGTGGAAATGACAGAAACCTGCAAAAATCATAGCAAATTATGTCATGTGACCGCAGAATACCACAACAGGTCTTTGCCAAATGTCCAATATGTGAGCATATGATCATAGGGAGGGGAGACTGCGACCATTTATAATGTCTGGAAGTTGCTTTACAGCAACAAAACACTTGTTCTGCGGCTATCTTAAATATGAATGGTCATTAAGCAATCAGTCATAAGTTAAGGACTACCTGTATGTTTCTGGACTAAGAGAAAGAGTGTTAATTCTTGAGAAAAGAATGGAAGAATAAGAAAGAGGTTTTACAGAGAAAAGGAGAATGTAATTTTAAATTGGTTGTTTCTTTCCACTCAGAAACTGCATATATTTTCATATGGTTCAGTAATCTGCAGTCATCCTTTACAGCAGCGGTCCCCAACCTTTCTGGCACCAGAGGCCAGTTTTGTGGAAAACAATTTTTCCACAGATTGGGGGGAGGAGATGGTTTCACGCACAACCTAGATTCTGCGCATGCACAGATAAACCACTTGCCTGCCCACCGCTTCTGTGGCCCAGTTCCTTAACAGTCTGAAGCCCGAGGGATGGGGACCCCTGCTTTACAGAATAAATCACAAAAGCAAAGAAAGACTTCAAGAAAACTATTGTGGATAAAGTCCAGAAATATGAAAAGAAACAACATGTTAAGGTCGCAAATTTCCATCCTTTTCATTCCTGTCAAGAAGAATTATTCAACAATGGATGTTGCAGAGATATTGACAACAAAAACATATGAATTTTGGAAATGAGATGCAATTGTGGGGAAAGTTCCCAATTAAAAATCTAAGGAAAGGTTTTAAGAACCAAACAAGGGTATTTGATTCTGGACTGATCAGACATAATGATCGGGTTATTTGTGGTAAATAAGAAACTGTGCAGACTTTCTATGAGTAAATTACAATAACAGGCAGAGTGCTTTAAACTTTAACTTCGCCACTGTTTAACTTGTTAACTGTATGGCAGGTCAATTGGGTTGCAAATAGATGCAGATGCTTATAAATTTTGGATGTGTTTTGCAAGGGCGGGAGGAAGCTATTATTGTTGTAATAATTTGTCAGTGTTCAACAAGGGGGAAATATGTCTTTTTGTCTTTTGGGGTTTTTTTACATTTTCTAAATGTTTTTTTCCAGTTTTGTTTTGTCTGTTTATTTTTTTTGCTTTTGTATTTTAATCTTCTGAATAAAATAAAAATGTAAAGGAGACATTCCTGTCTTAGCTAAGAAAGAATCATATCCTGTGCTCCAATTAGTTAGTAGATGTCTAATAGGCTCATGAAAGCACTGGTAATCCAGATGAAGGTGGGTGGGTGGATACCCATTCTAGCAGCCAACACTTGCAGCACTTAAGAGATGGAAGAAAATTCAGGCTGACATATCTATGCTCCATGCAACCTGAGTGTTATAAATGCACTTTGATTTCCTGAAAGATAAATGCTTAATAATGAATTCCTAGACTTCAAAAGTACCATTGTCAAAAAAGCATTTTACTTACATTTTATTACCAGGGTATATTGAAAGAGCTTGAAGATTTTGTAACTGCATTATAACGATCACAAAACTTGAGCTCTTTGTATCATATCTGTTAAGAAGATGAGAGGAAAAACCCTGCATTAGACATCACATATTTACAATGGTCAGTAGAAACTATCTTAATATACGTACTGACTCACCGGAGCCCTATTTGTACTTGGGCAGTTTCCAGCATCGTGGTATCATTTTCAGTATATGCGACTTCTTCATTGTTATTGGGTCTAGAGAACAGAGTTTAAGATAGATCAATGGCAATGACAGAAATACTTTTGCTGACTGGGTATCGAGGTCAAACATACTCGACCACACAGTTGGTAAATGTTGGTCAACATTTTAATTTTTAAACACTAATTTATTTTTACTACAGAGAAATAAATTTGTGTGGGGAATTTTCTTCATGAATACTGAAGGTGTTGAAGTGTGATATTTAGGAAACAATGCTAAAGATTATCTCACTAACAGCAATTTATTTGAAGGTCCCATCCTTTAAGATCATAATAATTTACATGATCTACATATTATAAAATGAAGCTAGTTTATATACTTTGAGTACAAACAAATGGAATTTGAAAAAAAAGATATTTGAAAAAAAATGTAAGTTTGTACAAACAGGATCTCATATATTTGAAATTACTATATTGGGATATAAGATTAAATTGGAATTTTTAGGTCAATAAATAATATTGTAACTTTTCTGTTTTCTATTTCTTTGCTTAAATTAATGAATTACTTTTGTTATGTTCATTAATCTTACTTGAGGAACTGTCTCATCCTGATGGGATTGGCCCACACCACCCGCGCTGGTAGAGGGGGTATGCTGCAGATCCTGTCAGCCAAGGAATTTCAGCTGGTGGACTCCAGGAGGAGAGTCTTCTCTGCTGTGGCTCCTGCCCTCTGGAACATCCTATCCCCTGAGATGAGATTGGTTCCCACCCTCCTGTAATTTTGAAAGAGCCTCAAGTCCTGGCTCTGCCAGATGGCTTGGGACCAACGGGGGAGCTTTATACTGGAGGGGATTGATTATTTAAAACCTAATCCCATCTTTCCACCCCATGTGTCCTGCTCCCACCTTTCCCATCTGGTTTTAACAGTTTGTAATTGTGAATGATTTTATCTGCTGTGTGCCATGACTATTGATTTTAATGTCTTTTCTTCTTTAAATGTTTTATGCTGTAAGCTGAATATAAGATGGGCAGCAAAAATTTCTAAATAAAATAAAATAAAATAATATAATTGTGCATTATTTAAATTTTATTGTCTTTCAATAAATTAAAGGAAGTATGTATTCTTCATTTTAAATGCCTGCATAATTAAGTCTTGTTAAAAATTATCTGAATATTTAATTATTTTATAAACATATTAGAATGTTCCAAAATGAGGAGTGGTCAATTCTTGAACGCTTTAATTGTACTATTTTAAAATTTAAATTAGGTATATGGAAAATGTTTTTCAGTGTTTGTATTAATACATATTTATACAGATTTTTTTAAGGCATCATTTTACCTAGGAGAATGCTTATCTGTTCCTCTGATTCTTTATTCTCCTGATTGTTAATTTTTCTGAATCATTATTATTCCTTGCCCTATCTGTTTGGTTTGTTCTGAAATTGCTGATGAGTACAAAGCCAAATATTTGAATGTAATGTTAATTTTGTTTTCTGACAAATAGAAATATTCCTGGCTTTAAACCTACTGTTGTACAGAAGCTTCATATACACCACTGTCTCCAGCCACAGACTCATCAGATACAGCAGCAGATACACAGCCTGTCTTCTCATCAAGCAAATGCGTTCTTGTTCTTCTTGAAAAGTCAACACCTAGGTAAGGGAAAGAACCTTTATTTTAGGCTGTGAATAAGAAAAACATTCTTAACTTCTGGTCAAACTGAAATGGAATATTCTGGGTTCCAAAGTGTAATTAAATTTCATCACAAGCATTACATGTATTGAAATAGTATTCAAACTTTTCAGATTTAGAATGAGGCTTCTTTACTAGTATGTGCATTTTATAAGACTGAAAAAGCAACAAGCTACTTTTCTGCAACTTAAAAATAAAGGATATCTATCATTCACCCATCAATTTTTCCTCTTCTCAAAAGAAAAAAAAACCAAGAGAGTTCCCTTCTTTAGAAGAAAGGGTCAATTGGACAGGTCTTACCATTAAGTAGAATAAGTTGGCAATTTCAGAGTAAGGGACTATTTTCAGAGCCACCAGTGCTGAGATTAATGAATTTTTTGGCAACAGAACTATATTTATGCATTCTGCCTCATCTTCCAACCGTTAACCTGCTACCAAGACATATAGCGGCTATAGAAATTTCTTGATTTTTGCACATACAACATGAGAACATGCCTTTTTATCTCAAGCAACAAACGTTTTAAGCTGTAATGCACCCCAAGTCCCAATCTACTGCTTAATAGGAAATAGGAATATATAATTTCATCAGAACATCTATACAAAATTGTTGAACTTCTGAGATTTAAACAGTTATGGCTTAAAATAACTACCAAAGTTAAGTTCACCTTTATTCAGAAATCTTTCCTAGATTTCATTGTTGCCATTTCAGTCATATTGGAGAAACACTGCAAAGCACAATGTCTGAGAGTCTTTTCAAATGGAATGCCAGAGAATCATAATAAACTAAAGACTTTTGACAACAAGCAAATTATATTCTAAATACTTTAATTAGGGGTTTTTTTTTAAAAAAAAAATCCTTTCTGAAATTTCTATATGGTAAGACATAAATCTCAATTCTGTTTTGGATTCAACAGTGACAAAGTCTAGACCTATACCACAAAATTTAAGAGAAAATTCAAGTTCCTTTCTCCTGATTTCAAAATTCAATTTTTGCTAAATTTCCTCCAGAAGCACAGTACGACCAATGTAAGCAGCATATTGTAATGTAATAACTTGCAAGTGCATGGAGTCCTTTTATCTATCAAGGAACCAAATGTATTGGAATGCATTACACCCCCCTCCTGAGTCATGACTTTACATCTTGTTAAGATGTTTAAATTTTAAGGCTTCAGATTAGAGGATTGATTGCTGCATTTTTCCTTTCATTTGTAACAGTAGGGATGCTTTTTCCTTGATGATGAAGTGCTTTTTCTTTCACCACTTTGAGAGAGGTGAAGGTGATGACATGATTTATTGATTACTCTCAGGAATAAGCACAGCGGTCTGGAATCGACTTTGACAATGACAGAGTCTATCTATGAAAGAACTTTACAGTTATTCTAAATCTGTTATTCCAAAAGATACTCTGCACAGAAGAAAGCTGTGTGCAGGGGACAAAATTTCCTCTGCCCAAAGTAAAGATGCAGAGAAAATATAAGAACGTACAGCATTATCAAAAGCTCTGTTCAAACCAAGTCTAGAACTGTCTGATTTCAAAGCAAGCAAAACTAAAGATCAGGTTTTATTGATCTACCAAAATCAGTAGAATTACAAGATCTAAATTTGAAACTGGACATAATCCAAATATTTACATAACTTTTAGGAAGCTTTTCATTGCATTCAATTGATTATGAGATAGGGACTATAATAACCTTTCCTAATCTGGTGCTCTTTACCTGCATTGGCACATTCAGTCCATCAGTAGGCCTGAGCGAGAGCCTTGCAGGCTGGGGAATTTTAAATTGGAGGAGATGTTATATAATGAATATTTTTTTCCCAATGACAGTTAAAGGACCTTTACTGAATTCAGGAAATTAGAGTTTGTAGAATGGAGACTGTACATTATAATTACAGAAATAAAAGTCTCTAATTAATTTCTTAATAACCCTCAAAAGTAATATTGACATGAAAATAATGTTTAACATCTCAAAGTATATTACCTGACATGGGGCTTTGTAATTTTGAGAATTAGATAAAATTAACTTATTTATGCAATCAAATTTCTAATTGTAATGGGCAATTCTGAACAAATATATATATGCAATTGTACTGCTAGGTTCCAAATTATTCTCTGACATCTCACTTTCTTGTCCTTCTCTGGATAACCTGCAGTTAAAACTCAAACTAAAGACAAGCAACATCCCATTTTATAGTTTTCATGAACGATCATGTGTGGGGGTTTTTTCTACAATCTAGGCTAACCTACAGTAAAATTACCTGATGGTTTGTCTTCAAGAATTGGCCACAGCTGGCCCTGCTTAGCTTAAGGTACCAGGCTAAAGACTTTGAGGGTTCCTCCCTTTTAGCCTAGACAGAAGATCTAAAATCTAAAATCATTGCCAAGAAAACAGCAGGGACTCAATGAGGCAGTTGCTAGGAGTCAACACAGTCTCAAAGCCCCTTGCCCCTAAAATTTTACTATTATAACTGCTGCCAACTGATGTTAACTAATTAAAGTTAGCTAATCTAATAATTATTATTACTAATTATTTATATTTGTGAATGTATGTTTTATATTTTTAATGAACGTTCACTAGTGAGATAATTTCTCAAAACCTCAGAATGGGACCACATTTTGTGTGTCAGGGGAAGAATCAGCAAAAGATCAACACTAGGTTTGATCTGGCCAAGTGCGATGGGAAATAATTATTTATTGTGCCTTCATGTCAGTATTGACTCCTGTCAACTGCTTGGACAAATCCCTGCAGTTTTCTTTGAAGATTTCACGAGTTTTCCTCTTGCCTGCTTCCTAGGGCTGAAAGAGAAAGATTGGCCCAAAGTCACTAAGCTGGCCTCATGTCCAAGGCAGAACTTGAACTCATGGTCTCAGTTTGAGGCTGGTGCTTTAACCACTACATCAAACTGGCATATTCATGCTCTCTTTAAATTATCACTTTTTCTCTCCCTTGTTTAACAGGATGTAAAACCAATCATAAAATCCTCTTTGGATTATTGGATTATATATATTTTAAGTACATATATGATTTGTGAAACAAAAATGAAACTCTACTATGTTCCAATTGATATATAGTATATGTTAGAAATGGTCTATCACAATGGAGAATTATTGCTGAAAGAGAACTAGACGAGGTTAGAGTTTGCCAATTAAAGTCTCATGCTCTAAAAAGTAGACATCTACAATCTTTCTCATCCCTTTCCCTGCAAACTAAATGAGAAAAACTTCCATCTCAAAAGTATCTGCCCTCAACCATCTGCAAACTCTACACCTTTAGCAATTCTGTGATAAGCTACAGAACGTACCATTTCATATCTAGTACATTCATCAAGTGTGTTAAGCTTCAGCTAAGCACTGAAATATTGTATGCATTGCAAAGTTTCTCCATCCTTTATTTTACTCAGGGAAATGGCAGACTGTCAATAATGAGAGCCAAGTTTGGACACGTTGGCAAATGATACAGTGTCAGAAGTGTAAACCAGTCTCTCTTTCACTACAAATATTTGCTTGCTACACAATGTACTTTAATCCCAAAGTTCCCAATATCAGCCTACATAATTAAGCAACAATGTAAATGACACTTCCATCCTTTACTCTATCCACAAAGAGCAGAGGTAAAGATATTGGTGCTTACTTTCAAAGTACAATAACCTGAACTGAAATACTTGAGGGAACACCTGTTCCTACAATCTGCTTCTTTTGGCTTTAAGTTCATTGCTGCTCTGGGTATTATTGCCATTTGAACTGAGGCAGGTAACTTCTGGAGAAGGGTTTCTAGAATTGCCTCTCATGGCATGGATTATACTGTCTTTATGGCAAACACACCTTTCTTATTTTTCCATGCTTCTTAATTTACAGATTTTAATTATTTAATTGACATAGCAAGTGGCAGTAACCAGCCACTCTCAGCTGATCTTGGCAAAGCTAAGAAGGGTCCAAACTGGTCTGTACTTAAAGTGAACCATTAGGAAACCACAGAGCGGCAAACTATATTAGGAAATTGAAAAGACACCCTGTATTTTACCAAGCAAATAGAATGGCATGTTCACGTAGTCACCAGGAAGTCAGGCTTTGCTCAAGAGAGACTTTGAGCAATAGTGCATGCTACATGTTATTACTCATTCATTCTTCTTATTATTATTTTGAGAACACCATTTGATTGAAGGACACTATAAAATGTAGTTTCACCAATGTATAATGCTTTTATTTCTACACATGTAACTAAACAATAGTGATTTCTAACTAAAAGTATGTGAAAAGGTATATATTTGGTTGATGTATTCAACCAAAATATGGTTTATACAGTATTCAAAAACTTGGGGTAAAGGAGCAAAAAGATTTTGAACATACATCTTCAATCTACTTAAATAATATAGTGCAAAATCAAGTTCTTAGTAAACAACACAGATGAAATATGCAAAACAATAATTCACAGCTTTCAAAATGCTTACTGGACACAGTGAGATAGCAGCTGGTACAAGAAGAAAATGGTCCTTGCTGGCAGCCATAGGCATGATTTACCATTGTTAAAACTAATCTAGCACTGTTTCTCCTTCATGGATTACTGCCTTGTCGTGGCGAAGGGGCTTGCGTAACTCAATGAAGTGATGAGCTATGCCATGCAGGGCCACCCAAGATGGACAGGTCATAGCAGAGAGTCCTGTCAAAATGTGATCCACTGGAGAAGGAAATGGCTAGTAGCGCCAGAAAGAGTGAAGTGACTGGGCCAAAGCCGAAAGGATGCTCAGCTGTGGATGCATCTGGTGGTGAAAGGAAAGTCCGACTCTGTAAAGATCTTTTCTCCATAGGAACCTGGAATGTAAGATCCATGAATCAAGGCAAACTGGACGTGGTCAAACAAGAGATGACAAGACTGAACATCGACATCTTAGGAATCAGCAAACTAAAATGGACTGGAATGGGTGAATTTAATTCAGAGGACGATCAGGTATATTACTGCGGGCA